GTTGTAACACTGTTCAACTAAAAACAATGCCCCGACGGCGTTTTGAAGATAAACACATTGTCAATCATTTGTGAAAATTTCAAAACAAAAGGTCAAAGCGTCTAGGAGCTATTTTTCTAAGTTCTGGGATATGCGCTAAAAGAAGCTGAGATAATTGCTAACTTGATAATACTGTAACAGTTCCAAATTTAAGTGTATTATCGTTTTGTTAAAAGTTAAATATAGTGCATAATATGGAGATCCCGTCATTTCTTGTTTTCACCATGTTTCTTTTTAATTATTTATGTACAGCCCTGCTAAGCATTCAAAAGAGAGAATGTTTGCATCTATATCTATATTTTAAAATCGTTTTTTGAGTATGTTTCACTATTCACAATTCTACAAAATTTTAACAGTCTATAGCCAAGACTGTTTGGATAATAAAAAGTAAAAAAAAATTATTCCCAAATGCCCACGAACCTGCATCTCTACCTTAACAATGTAAATGAATTGCTGCATAATTTATTCCGGGAACTGATTCATATAAATATTAAACCTGTATCATAAGAATGAATTTCAGTGCTTTATGAAAGTTATTATTTAATTAAGTTATTGCACTATTTAATAAAAAATAACATCACTTGTATAAATTGTATAATTCCGCATTGTAATGCAGTGGAGAGATTATATTAATGTAGGAAACACCTGGCGGTAGTTGGGAGTTGTATGGGCATATCCCTAAATTTGTATAAGTACTGGGCAAGGTCAACTAAATTTCCCCATCAACAAATACTTCTCTTATTTTTACAATCTGTTGACACTTACAACCCACAAGCTAAGATCACACCTTAACGGCAACTTTCAGAGCAGCCGTGTGCCACACACAAACGCAAGAAATCAACAGCTGCAACCCATAATTGGCTATTCGCGTTATCAGTTACATAGCCAGTGTATAATGAAATGAAAGAGACTAAATTAAATAACTGGCATACTTATACTACATAAGATTATCAATATTCTATTCCTAGTTGTCCACGCTACATGAAGTACGGGCTAAAATGTAAGCTCATCTCATATGTTTGCATATCGGATAGACCCAATTGCGTTCAAGGGCTAAGAAAACTTGCTAGGAATATACACAATTTTCAGCCATTTTAACTATGATTGCTCAGTAGAGTAGCCAGGAAGGTATACATTGCGTTGATTATATGAATTGTTTGAATTGGCTTACCGAAATGAATAGTTGTGAATATAATAGTAAATCTTTCAAATGAACATTGAATACAATGGATACGTGCATATATTTTGGGCGAGGTAAGCGCGCACGCTTGGTTAGCCCGTGCTAAAGCTCTGGACCGGGTCTTGAAAACGGATCAAGGAGTTGTGTGTGAACGCTACTCCTGTCTCTGAATAAACATAATAACTAAGTTGATATATATTCTCTGTTGCATTTATTAGATGTGTGGAGATTAAAATAGTTATGTTCTTAATTACCTCAACTTAGTTTTACTGGGCTGCAGCACGAAATATGATAAGTGTTACTGAAATGTACGCAAAACGTTTACATTTAGTTGGTTACATAGACTTGAACAAAAAACTATTAGGTCTTGGTATAATATGTCAATACTTCTGAAGAAATTTAATTTAAGATATCAACTATCCATATGCGCATGTTGAGGTGGGTAACAACCTTGGGGTGCAAAATCTTATTTTCAGTTATATCAATCATATGAAAAAGTTTATAGTAAATTTCAATAAATCTGACTGACAAATATTACATATCTTCCGCGATACCGTCCCACGTGCTTACTCACTTCTACATTTCAATACACTACCTTGTCTCTGGACGTCATCATCTCCTTCTTCTCATTGATAGAATACAATGTGTTTCGATTACGAGATTATTCATGCTGCTCAGTTATATTGTAGAAGATATTGCACACAGCCCAAATCACAGGAGTGTAGCATATATACTGTCCGCTTCTCTTTCTTTAAAACGTAATTGATAGACGTCTAGTATCAATTCAATTAGAAATGAAACTACCTCAGTACAATGCAATTACCTGACTGGTAGATGAGGTTACTATCTTACGAATACCTTTACATCCTGTAGAATTGATTAATTGTGTTCGTGCTGACAAACAAACTACTTGAGGCCTCAGACGTAATTTGTAATTACATCACGTCACAGTTGTATGATCGATGCCACAAATAACAGTATTGTTTTCTAAGATTGCATGCTCATGTATTAGTATCACCATAGTTTTATTAATCGTTAAACGCATAGATTGGACTGCGTCTATATTGCCTCAACCATAGACTTTTAAACCATCTTTGCAAAGTTAGAATGACGAGTTAGCTGTCACACAACAGGTCCATAATTCTAACAACTGTCAGTCCCGACATTTATAGATTGTTCTAATGTTTGTTGTTCGTTTCTGACAGCATGTGTGGTATATAATATTTAAAAATGATAATGATTTTCTTATTAGCTGATATTTAAAAGGCACTGCTAGACTATTGTCCTGTATTTTATCTGGGTTTTGAAATTAACGCATGGTAGTATACGCACAATTAATAATGATATAATCTATAATGAGTGCCCCAATCCACGCAAATTTAAAATGTCTCAAAGAGGGCTGATACACAAATAGTAAATCACCTTAGTGCTATTAGTTCCTCAATAACGTGTTGTAACAACCGGTACAATTATTAAATAACCTTGTGCAATCCTCAATGGAATAGCACATTAGTATGATGTGTGTTTTTTTAAATAAGTACTGCAAAATCTGTAATAGAAGCCGCGGTTTCTATTAAAATGGTACAATGCGACAGAGGGGGTACGGTTTCTATTAGAATATCTACACAAATGAGAAATTGTGATTTTTTGGTTCTCAATTATTCAAAAAGAATGGGTGCGACTTCTATAAGGGATGCGGCTTGTAATACAGATTGTACGTACTATCTTAGTTTTTACAAGTGTGTGTGCTTACTTTCCTCAAAATAAGTTTTGATTTAGTGTAACAGTAGTACTCTTCTATTGTTTATCCTCAATCATAATAAATTATTTTTTCAGGATGCCTGGACGGACGATGATAGTATTGTACATATTGACGTGAGACAGTCTTATAAAATTGTAGATTACACTAAAAGACCAGAGATAGAAAGTATAACCTTTGAGAGGATATTTGATACGTGTGACAAAAGAGATTACGTTATTGAGGTAGGTTACAACAATTACTCACATATATGTACAGAGTAATTACCACATCGAATAAGAGCAATGAGGATCACAATTTCACTTGTGTGTGCATTAGTGATACGATTCGTGTGTTGTGAACTAATATACAAACGCTGGCAAGACGGTAGAATTGTATTGTAATTATGAGGCAACATTTTTATTATTGTGCCTTAACTTCAAAGCCATACCGCACATTGATCTGAAATTTGAGATTGGTATGTATAATGGGCATTAATGTTAGCAAAGCTCTTTATTTGGCCACGAGATTTGGCCGCCATCTTAGACTTGGTTTAGACAGGAAGTAGGGAGCAGGAAGTTTATAATGATGCCACAGTTAGCTGATAAATTTGAAATTTACCATGTACATATCCTTCTGAACGTTGGCCGCCATCATTGATTTTAAGCATTTGTTTTCATGAGTGTTTTAACTCATTTTGATCCCAATTTTAAAGTGAATCACTTTCATCATAAGAATATTTGGGGATGATGACCTCTCCTTTTTAAAATCCATGCGTTTGTTAAATTACTGTGCAAAATACATTATTTCCATAATACTTCCCCTGTCTCATGTCCTTGTAAATTTGCATTAAACATATTTAAACGGCAATGGCTGAACATGACGCGTCACGACGATCATTTGAGGATATCATGAACTTGACATTCTCAATGATTATTCATTTACTATTGTTGTACATTTGTTGTACTATTGGTCTAATCAAAATGACATTTCTAATTTTACGTTGTCACATACAATATTTAGTTTCAGGGCCCGGAGCTCTATCTTTCTGGAAATTGAGATTTTGTCTAGCTATTTTTCTTTCGTCGTTATATTTTGTTTCATGATACATGCACTAACTATATTCCCGTCCAGTACGATCACTATTTTCCAGAATGCGTTTCGAGTATCTTATGATTGGCTGTTAGTGACCTATTATTTGTAAGCGCGAGCGTACTATATATTTACTGATGCATCGTATATATAAAATTGGATCGGCGACCTGGTGGACTCAGCGCTGAGCCAACTGAGAATTAACGTGGTCTACGCTATGTCTTATATTTACTTTGAAGCACAATGCAGGTGTTGAGAAGCCATAGTAATAATAGTATCTTCCGGCAATACAACTCAAATCACGGTCGAATAGCAGGCGTACTCCAAAAGAAGCTCCTTTGGGCTGAACAGTGTGAAGCGACAGATCGAGCTCTTTCACACTAGTTTACTAAATTGTTTGAATCTAACTATGAATATTTAATGCACCTATGGATAGTTCAATGTTTTAGTTGTGAAATTCATGCATAGACAATTCAGAGAGAGAGAGCTTTTACGCGGAATAAACGATACATCTAGCAGTGGACTCAGGTGAACGGTCATGCAAGTTTTTACACAACCGGTGCCGTCAGTAACGGTTCATCGACGAGACAACTTCCAGTAACCTGTTTTTTGAGCAGGGAAGATTTTGTTTTTGTATTTAGTTTGCATGCTGTCAATTTACCAACTGCAGCTTGAACCTGAAGGAATAATAACATTTGGCAGCCCTTTATATATTATATAATGCAACAATTTATATATAATTTACACATTTATGAGTTTACATAGCATCGCTGAGAAACTAGTATTCTGCATTCTACATTGTGCATACAGTATATGTACATGTATTCTAGTTTTGAATTCTGAAGACACAATGTAACTAACTACTGTGTCAATGCTATTATATAGCTAAATATAGCATTCTAACAATGAAAGAGCTGCTCCCATGATACCAATGCCTTAATATTTTTCAATACCTTCGAGTATATTTGCTTTTATATGATACATATTTAGACAATAATAAAATAAAACTAAAAATGTGATATGAAGCGCATGACACTATGATAGACAGATACCTTGTAGAAGTATACAACGCTAACATCATGCTTGTCACTGCACATATTGGTGACATGACTATTACACTGTTATATTCGGTATTTTTATTCATATCCTTATCATGAGATGTAGGCTAGTCTAGTGTGTGTTTTATTACATACTGGTGTTGTAAACCATGTACTGCGTCTGTACAATATATTTGTAACAGAACAGTTGCCAGTTGGTTTCAGTAGCATGTGATTTTTCTCCAGTCTGCAACTCGCAGTATGGGTTGCCGTTTGTGCATCTATTGTTATAAGCAAATTATATGTAATAATTACAGGATTCTTCATTATATGTACATAATATAATTGTGGTCCAAATCGTTTGTATGAAAGAAGTGAATTATTGAACTTATTTGTATGTAATTAAAGATACTAGCTCATTAGTTATTATTATACAATTTTGCTTACAATATATTATATATAAAGAAATTGTCATGTTATTGTAATAAACAAATTATTTGTAATAAATAAACAATTCTCAATTATATATATATAAAATAAAATGTTGTTACAAATTATTAGTATAACATATTAAGTAACCCTAAATGAATTTGAATATAATTAAAGAGACTACATTAATATTCCATGTATATAATGAATATTATACAGCGTCATTAGAGAGGTTAAGACAATAACATGATAATCCTTTATATATAATATACAGCGTCATTAGAGAGGTTAAGACAGTAATATGATAATCCTTTATATATGATATACAGCGTCATTAGAGAGGTTAAGACAATAACATGATAATCCTTTATATATAATATATTAGTGGTATGTGGTATAATTATACATCTGTCACCGAAACGCCATAAGTTACAGGGTGCCTAATTTTGCAGTAATTTACGGGGTATATTCGTTCTACCATATAAGGAAATGCGAATTCCAAATATGGAATGACTACGCGCGTAAGCGTCCGCTAATAATAAAAACAAACGTGGCTGCCACCAGGGTTTAGCTGGACTCCACACAAAGACGTTCACTGATTCTGTTCTAAACGTGTTGGATTTCGTCATTCCCATGATGTATCCTTGAAAGGAAAAGATGTATAATAATAAGGTTATTACGAGGATACCTCAAAGTATGCACTCAGACAGTTCGCCGTCGTATCGACCTCAGCTGTGCATCTTTCGATACCTTTTTCTGGGACAAATATATCATTCCTTTCCGTGTCTTTAATAGACTTCTCTGTATTGTTGTGAAAGCTGATGAAAATAATAATAATTATTATAATTTATTTTTTCAGGGTGGAACTGTTGATATTATCAATTTTTCAGGAGATGAACAAATTACGTCACCCGATGGTTTAAATATCTCAGAATTCAATAATAATATGAAACGTGTACAATTATTAAAAAGTCAAATGCAAGTTCCCCCTCTTCCTGATGATGTAATTGAAATAAATTATCTTGCGCCAGAAGTAAGTTTTTTTTAATTGTTTCACAGTTATTCACAACAATATTTCAGATTGAATTTGCATTCTAGTATTTTCATCTATTACGTTATGTAATAATATTCCATCTGCTTAGTTCCCTTACTGCATGGATTATGCCTGAGTATAACTCTTCCCTGCCGACTCTCAAGCACGCCATTTCTTCAGCACATTCTGCCCCCATGATCAGCTACTTTTAACTCCTTTTTTTTGTGTTTCCCTCGCCCCTTTCCCATCCAGAAATACCCAATCTGACGTTATGTTTATCTGTTCTCGGGATTTATGTGTCCTACCAAAGTCTATTTCAATCTCTGTCTATGCTCTTCACTTATTCGTTTGTCTATTTCCTTTCATTCAGTAAGATCTTAAAATGATCGTTCTATGTGTCTTTATTCTCTATGTATTAATACTAGAATATAGCTATACTATTCTCTATCACCATCGCCTGACTTCAATTTTTTGGGGGCTAGGTCCATGTACCTGATAATGTTACAACGTACTGGTGTAGTACACATAAAGTTCCCAAGCTGCCCAACAAAAATCACATCATTAGGGTAAGTAAAACTACTCATATTACAAGACATAATGTTCAGTTTTTAAGCATCTTTACACCAGGACTATGTAAAGGGAGATAAGATATTTAATTTCTGTAATTTATTTTTCCATTCATATTTTGTTATACTCACTACCCTTTCATAGAATTACTCCAAATTTTTTTGTTCGTCTTTGGTTAGACTCACAGTCACATACACCGGCTTTGTATACTCACTTATATGAACACATTGTAATTTCATGTTTACGTGTTTGTTGGTATTTCTCACTATTGTTGTTCAGTTTGAAAGTGTAATTACACCAGGGAACGAAGATATAGTACATCATATGGAAGTATTCCTTTGTGAGAGTGATATTAGTGAAGAATACAATGCTGAATGTAAATCTGAAACTAAACCTAAAGCCATTGAATCATGTAAACACGTATTGGGAGCTTGGGCCATGGGTGCCGAGGTGAGTGTGCAATTATATATGGCTGATGTATGGCTTTGTATTCGTTTAAACATTCAGGAATTCAAACTGTTATTCTAACTATTATTTTAGCCATTTATATATCCAGCCGAAGCCGGAGTTGAATTCGGAGGACCAGAGTTTCCAAGACATGTGGTTCTAGAAATCCACTACAATAATCCACTACAACGATCAGGTATGTCTTTACATCAATTTCTCAAGTTCACCACCGCTACATAGTCACCATACCACTATGCGCCAGTCAATGTAAACCCGACCCCTCTACTTGGCGCATTATCGGGCAAGTATGAGGCTAATCCAGGGAAATTGATCAGCATGACTCGGGTTAATAAAACTATCGAAATCACACATCAGTCAAGGTCGGAGCAGTGTATCGATTCGCGTATGTAGAATGATTTTTCAGTAAGTAACTGACGAGGTGGTGAAGAATGGGGTAGAAAATGAACATGATAATAAGTTACTTTTTGTTTTTCTCCAAGGAGATGGTTGCACTATACACTGTCTTAGGAATTTCAGTTATTTTCCTTGTCCCCACATATTCTGAGGTGGGGTGGTCGGGTTCACTTAGCGCATTACGCAAGCCTTTATTATTTCTAGAAATGCACGTCCCTGTGAACATCACGTACCCTTATCTCATATGTTTGGTATAAAACATAACAAAACAAATGACTCGTTGCCAACTAAACGACTAAATCTCCCAAATGCTACTGTGGTTTTCAAGGTGCTGTGGATAAATCTGGTATGAGGTTCTATTACACCCCGACTTTACGCCCTCACGATGCCGGTATCATGGAATTAGGTTTGACCTATTCACCAAGGATGTCGATTCCACCGAACAATGAAGGATTTATTCTCAATGGGTATTGTACACCAGAGTGCACTGAACAGGTGAATCTGCTATATATAGTTATATCTGTATCTGTATCTTGTTTCATTTTAAGTACACGTGATGTTTCGTTAGTAAAACTTTAAAACAAGAATGCACTGAATATTACATCACTGTAATGCATACTTAAAGGGCGGTAGCCGTCGCGCAACGCATGCGCGAGATATATAGGTCTCATATAAACAAAGATGGCGACGTTGTCTGTTGCGCAGACAAACTGAGATGTTATTAAGCTTTAATTATGTATCTTTAGGTGATTGGAAGGTATTGAAGGAGTCACCGGTGGTAATTAGTGCAAGTCGGGCACAGGTCAAACCTCATACTGATTCCATTAGAAGAGCGCATTGGATTGTGGGTAAATTCATGTTTATCAACACAGATGTCGCACATGCGCGGCGCGACGACTACCGCCCTTTAAGTTTTATTGTTATGCCAATAATATACCAATTATCAATGTGAGTATTGATATCACGTGGTATATTGTTGCCCTAATATGTCATAAAATGCTGTGCACGATAGTTAGTCGACGCTTTGGACAGCACTTATGTCGTTCATTCACGTCACATATGAGCTCTTAATGAATCGATTGTACGTTGTTGGGCCGGGTTTCGATTCAAACCAGGATGCCCGACTGAACACAGTTATATTCTAATATCCCGAGATACTAAAGACTCATCACAACCGAATCTACGAATCTGCTCGGTGATGTTCGGTAATTTGTGAAAAGCTCCCGTTGTGGATATCTTGCAAATATTGTAATTATTATATCATGCTTATTACTTCACATGTCAAAAGATTCAAATATATTGCCGATAATGCAATTTTAAAATAATCAATGTTTTGTGGTTCACTGATTACAAATATGAAAGTTTATATCGTTTATAATGTTTATTTTCTAGGCTTTACCGGCAACAGGGATTAAAGTGTTCGGCTCTCAGTTACATACTCATCTTACTGGTACTGCAGTGTGGACTAAACACGTACGAAACGGAAACCAATTGCCAGACCTGAATAGAGATGATCATTTTAGTACTCACTTTCAGGTAAAGCGCTGACCATTTTGGGAAGAGGGAGTGAAAGTACAATGCAAATAATATTTTTTCTTTCACTTAATTTTGAGCTACATTATGTTTTCACGATGATGTTTTGTTGTCATTTTTTTTTGCTTTTTTATTTGAAGTATGTTTAGGATTTTTAATAAATATATTTTTCTCATTGACTTTCAAATGATCAATCCCTAAATCAGCTGCTATTGCTTTCCGAAAACTGCTATACTTAAATCTCATCGAATACATCCCAGGAGGATATCACCTTCTTAATAGCGTGTTCTGCTGTTGGCTACTAAAACTCTAAACCGATCAGAAACGTCTAGGCATTACGTGTTTCTATTAATAAAGACATTTCCTCACCCAGTTTGTAGTATTCAAAGAATAGCTGACGAGCGTGTACATATCATAAACTATATAGGTTGAAGTAAAATGTATTACGTGTATATTTGCTCAAATGGTTTGCCAACGTCGTTTACGTAATAAGATGTAATGGTCTACCGGTAGTTTATGGTAAGCTTAATATAACACAATATTATCATTTATTTGTTGAAGGATATACGACTGTTAAGACAGCAGGTATCTGTTCTCCCGGTAAGTGAAACGAAATTTCTTACATTCCTTATTTCAGGAATTATGGATTTAACATCATATAATAATATATCGTACCGTATTATAATATATCGTATCCTATCATATCATATCATAATATATCGTATCCAGTCGTATCATATCATATCATAATATATCATAATATATCGTAATATATCGTACCGTATTATAATGTATCGTATCGTATCATATCATATCATAATATATCGTAATATATCGTACCGTATTATAATATATCGTATCGTATCAAAATATAATATTGTAGCATATCACAATATTCCGTATCAT